TATAGTATTATATGCATTATAGAATGGATAGCTCTGGTACCTTGATGCTGATTGGTCAATGCCAGTGGTTTATTCATGATACCGCTTCACCAAGCTACTGTTTATATCACTGCACAGCATCTATGCTTGTATCACATACTAGCAACTATGGGGTGAGCGAAAACAAACACATTGAATGTGGCATCAGGATTCAGAAAGATGTTTATTTTTGTTAAATAAAACGAACAGAAATGTTTTTTAAAAAGTGAATAAAGTGTGAAAAGGAAGATATAATATCCAACTGAAAGGGGAACTCGCTGACTGGATGCTGGCAGCTTTGATTGGCGACTCTCCTTCCTGAAAACAGTCTGGGGAAATGACTCGGCAGCCAGGGAATTCCATAAGTACGTAAGAATAAACACAGACAGTTTTATTAGAATGTGAAGTATTTTAACCGATACCAATATGGATTTTTACATTTCAAAATCGATCTTTTAGTCTATGCTGTTTTCTGTTGATGCATGAACAAAACGTCACATTATTTGTGGCTTGCCTGCCATGCAATAATTGGTAAATCTATGAACTTTTTTACTTTATATTTTTATTAAACTTCTGTCTGAGTTTGAATAAATCTGTCATAAAAGCACATTTTTGTTACAGCCACCATTTAAATATTTATATATAACAAAACAAATTTTGTAGAAACATAAGTCTGTACAGTAATTAAAATTTTGATATAAGTGCAATTTAAATGTTTGTACAACTAATTTTCTATCTAAGTGTTGATCATTCAATAAATGTTATTAAATAATTGATTATTAAACACATTTTATTTTTGGTCTTGGCTTTCAGCTAAATTAAAACTTTAATTTTCATGTTTGGTGTTTCAGTAAAAAATTCATTACGGTGCATCACTAAACATTATCCCACTTCTTACATGACCGCTTTCCAAAAAAAAAAAAAAAAAAAAAAAAAAAAAAAAAAATATAAATATATAAATATACAAGGAAGGTAATTGCCAAGGGGCTTTTCTGTCCCACTCTATTTTCTATCAAATATACACTACTATTCAAAAGTTCAAGGATCAGTAAGATTGAATGTTTTTCTCTTATCTTAGCAAGTCTCTTATGCTCAAAGTTGCATTTGTGATCAAAAGCTTAGTCATTTTGCCCTGTGCATGAAGCATACGGCAGTATCAGTCACAAAGTAACAGAACATTATCACTTTCAGACAATGCTGTCAGTGGACTTAAGACTAGAGGTCGACCGATTGATCGGGCAATTTTTTTTATTTTTATTTTTTATTAATCGGCATTGGCCGATTGTGCTGCAAATTAGGCCGATTTATAGGCAGGCACATCTGTGGGCAGCTAAGCGTTGTTGCGGAACACCGTAGAATCTCTCTCTGTTCACATACAGCTTCAGCTAATGATGGCAGGGCAAAACAGACTGTTTCAAAAGCGTAATTACGTTTTACCCTACTAGAATTGATGCCGGAAAGTTATCATATTCATAAGTACAAGTCATTTGCATGTGAAAGTAGAAACGCATGCAGTTCAGACGAAACTTCTGGGCTGCTTATAACGTGCACATTAACTTTCCTCGTGAAATTTGTGTAGGTCCTACAAGAGCGTCCACAATTTCATTGCTCGTGGCCAGTGCACTCTTAAGCCGTTATGAGCAGCAGACTGTGTAATATGTGTGAACTTTTATTTTTGTTATCACTTGGCCATTTGACTTATAGCAGTGTCCAGTGTTTCCCATACATTGAGTTATTACTTCGTTGAATAAACTGATCACTGCACGTTTCAAAATTAAAATGCAGCGCTGGTGTCTTTTATATGAATGTATCTTTGGAAAGAACCAACCTTCTTCAGAAAAGCTTTTGTGTCATTTATTTTGTCTTTCCTGTAATACCTGATAAAGTACTGTTTGTGAACGCAGTGCTTATTCGTTTACAGCCGTTACCGGGGAAACCGCTATATATCTCCCGCTCCAACAGCGCCTCGTGCTGGCGGAGAATGAATTTGCATTTGCAAGTCTGTGGGAAACACTGGTGTCTGTCAGCAAACATAAACAAAAAGCATACCTCAGAGCTGTTGTGTGTGTGTTTATCTTTGTAATGATAGTGGGTCTCATCTTTGTTTTCTCTGGACTCCATTTCCCATAACCCCTGCCTAGGAACTCATTATCACACAACACCTGTTTCCCATCAGTGACATTATAAAGGTCATCCTCATCCACACACACATTGCTGATTATTGTATCGCCTGTATTGTCATCGTCTTCTCCTTGTTCCGTTCATTGCCTTGCCTTGCTTGTTTTTTGACCTTGGACTGTTTACATTGTTTTTGATCGTTTGCTGCCTGCCCTGACCCTTGCCTGCTGTGCTGAATTATACCTGTTTGCTGCTGTTTGACCCTGCCTGCTTTGACCACTCTTTTTAATAAAGCTGCATGTGGATCCTCAACTCCCACGTTAAAATCTGTAGTAAATGATTATTCTCCCCAACATGTACCCTCACCATTGAGGAATGCAGGGTTCAGTGCAAAGACCCCTGCAGTCAGTTGTTCAGTCACATGACTTCTCTTGTCCAGTCAAGTCTTTATTACTTTATTGTACTTTATTGGTTTTATTGCAGTTCAAGTGTATAATATTATTCTTATTATTTTTTTTGCAATATACAAAACAGTACAGTTAAGTGGTACAATGAAAGAAGAACCCTGTGATGGTCTGGCCTACGGCCCGAGACGCTGAGATAGGCTCCAGCATTCTTGCGACCATACATGGGACAAGCAGCTTAGAGAATAAACGGATGAAAGTAAAGAAGCAGGACCATAAAGACAACTCATGTCACTGCAAGCCTCTTCATTGCCTGCCATTGGCAAAACACAACAGCCAGTGGTTTACATCACATTCAATGCTTTATCAAACAGCTTATCCCAGCCTGGCTACAATTAACTAACTCTGGCCACATAACCCTCTTTCTTTACATGAAAAGTACCCACTTGGCCATATCACAGAACTTCTCGTCTTCGTTCCTCAGTAGTGGAATCGATTCCCAACAGCTATAAGAACAACTAACATCCCAATCACATCCAAACAAAGCTTGAAGACTCAGCTACTCTAGACGTCACACACTGAAGACATAAATAGCTGGGGGGGAAAAAACAATCCAGGCTCATTGAAAATACATGACTCTGGCTAAATTTCTGTGAAACTGCAAAAATGTACCCATACAGACAGTACATTTCAATGTACATTCCAGCTGAAATGAACACTAGAGGCAGTAAAACCACCATCTTTGTTTTCCTTTTCACACAAATGATGATGATTACAGGGGCAGATTACTGATTAATAAAGACTTATTTTCCCGTGGTTCCTTGCACAATACTATTTTATGACCGCTAATCACTTTTACCATAGTGCATGGTTTGTAAACTGATACATTTTGCCATTTGCATCACATAACTACATGTGTATGGATTTTTTGATATAATAAACTTTCAAATATTACTCTTGCAATGTGGAACTCTGGGGTACGAGTCCTGTAAAACACAAGTCACAACACTCCATAAAAAAGCTTAAAGCCACGTAGAAGCATGCTAAAAAGATTTAATGTGAAACATGCTGCAAGCAACTCAAAATCTTTTTGAAAAAAAGGAACCCACAGGCACATTACACTGGTCTGTTTATTAAAGCCGCATCTGCAAAGGATATTGCTTATAATGCTTATTGTGGGCATCACCTGAAAAGTGTAGCAAATGTACAGTACCTGGAACAACCAATTTCAGGTTTTGCAGAAATATAGCCAGAGTCACATAGTTCCAGTGAGCTGCATTGCAACAATTTGTGTTTGCGATCTTATTGCATCTACTGTTGTTTGGGGCTTCCACTTTGAAAATGAAGGTCTAGTTTGAGTGTTCTGTATGTTATGAGCACTCATAAATCAAAATTACAAACCCAGCCCAACTGTCCTGCTGTAAATGACAAAGCTTTTGATTGTTTCTTTATCATTTCTTTTATAGCTTTCAAAACCACTCTTAAAAGTTAAAAGTTGTTGATGTATGGAAAGCATTTTACATCAAAACTCAGAACACACCAAGCTAGGTTTTCAGCCCCTCGTATGAAGTCCTGCATGTGATCAGTCCACTTCACTTCAGTACCTCCACATTTGGTGTCTTGTATGCCATCGCAGCTTCCTGTCCCTCAACTAATAATGCCGAGCAGTCAGTCTTCACGTCTTTGAACTCAAGTGGTTCTTGTTTATTTGATTTCTTCGGAAGGGGAGGGGGTAACAAGTGTTGCAAGTTCCTCCATAGACATGGATCTAATTTGGCCACGGGGCTTTGAAGTCTCTGGTCCAGTTCATCTCTTTATGTGCAATTACACCCGCCAACCACATTAATACAGGCTTCAAGGGCTCCGGCCAGGGTCTTATTAGTTATAGCCTTGTTCTACACGACTCTGTGGCGAGAGCATTTTTTTAAACATTTCAAATCTAAACAATAGCCCCTTTTTTCAGACCTGGCCCTGGGCCCCTCAAACAACATTTAGAGATCACAGTTCAAAGACCCAGCGCACGCCTCTGAGTAGCTCTGACTAGATTCTTTCGGAATCGCAGCCACAGCTCTGTGATCTGATATGTTTATGCGTTGTAATTGGTGACCAGCGTGGCCTCCTCTGTCCTTGAATATTTCGAGCATTTAACAAAACCAGTGGCCGTTTAGGAATCTAACCATAGTCATTCTTTTCAGAGTCAGAGGCATGCATTTGCAAGGATGGTAACATTAGATTTGCTTTGAGGTTTGCTCTGTGTATCTCGGTTTCCAGGAAAATCGTCGCAGAACAATGTACATTTTTCTCAGGCTCATACAAAATTTAAAAAGCCAGAATTAACCAAGTGTATTTCTTTACGAGAAAATATTTTCATAAAGAAATCACTTTTGCTCAAAGCGGATCTACAGTTGCTGCAATGACACATTTTTCTAGTCACTATTGTTACACAATAGCACATGGTTAAAGGAATTGCTAGACATTAATAGGGTCACATAAATCGTGTATTTTCCCACTTATTGTGACTGGGCAGATAAAGTTTCTAAAGTCCCAGTGGGTGTCATTGATGTGTTAATGTATTCATCTGATTGAGGTCAAACAGTTGTGAAAGTTCTGAATGAGCCTGTTTTGCTGCTTGGTTTTAGTAAATGCTCTTTTATAGGCTGGTAGGACGTTCTGAGTTCTGAAAGTTGCAGTACAGTTATAATAGCACATAGTAACACTTTATTTTAGGGTCTCTTAACTAGTTGCTTATTAGCATACATATTACTAGAATATTAGCCATTAATTAGTACTAATTAAGCACATATTAATGCCTTATTCTACATGACCTTATTCTACATCCCTAATCCTACCCAATACCTAAACTTAACAAGTACCTTACTAACTATTAATAAGCAGCAAATTAGGAATTTATTGAGGGAAAAGTCGTAGTTAATAGTGAATAAGTGTTCCCTATTCTAAAGTGTTACCTAGCACATTGAAGTCTTTTATTTCCAAAGATCAAGGACAATTAAATTTCTCACGACATGAGCCCTTTAAAAGTAGAGTACAGTAATCTGGTCTGGCAGTTGTGGGCTTACAATTCAGATCCTATGGGCGGCATATATATTACTGTTGAACTCATATTCTTCCCCAAATTACTAGGAGTTTGGCCTGTAATGCTCTGGAAATCCTTGCACATGAAAATGATTTTGTTGTACTTCAAATCAGTGCATGAAAATTGTAGTGGTTTCTCAAAGTGGTAAAACCTAGCAGGTAAAGTGGTTCCTAATATGATAAACGTACCACTAAACTTGAGACTGTGTTTGTCTGCAGGTCAGCCTCCTGCAGAAGAGAGCGTCAGTCTTACAGGAGCAGTTAGATGCTAGCCTCATCAGGAGGTGAGGACCTGGACATGCTTTCACGCACAATTTATCCAAATTCAGTGTCAGCTGTGGACTGTCTGTTTATATATACGCACATGTGCATAGAATGCACAAACATTGCTGTGTGTCAGAATGATTGTGACAGAGTCCACAAATATGACAAGTGCACAAGACGCACCTCTGCCATCTTTGTCCAAGTTTGGAGTATAGAAACGCTATAATTACTGATGCACAAAAGGACCAACCTCAGTTTGTTTTTACATGCCGTTTAGAGATCATACAAAGTAAACCTGTGACACTTGATGCCAAAATGCTGCATAACAGTCTGATTGGAGCTTGTGGTGTTTCGTAAGTGCTTTCCAGTTTTATGATCAGCATGCAGTCAGTGACTGATACCGAGACCATCACCAGATCAGTTTTATAATAGAGACCATTTGAACTATAAACCCTCCCCCACCTGAGCCCTGACCGCTGCAGGTGTCGATTGGCCCTTTTGATCAGAGTGGAATAAACAAACAGTGTCATGTGACCACTGGTTGATGCTCATTTCCTCTTTCACTCTAATTGTTAACTGTTTACTGATTAAATATTGTCTGCTGGTGCAGCCTGAGAAAGAGCAGCCATTCCAGACCAGGCTACGTTCACACCTGGTATTAAGATCCGTTTTTTGCTAAATACAGGTGTGAAAACAGTTTATGCTATGTACCAGAGTTAGCCAATGGTTAATTTTAATCTGCAGTCCCTTGGCTGGTGACCATTTAAAAAAAAAAAAACACTCATCTTGGTTGTCAAATAACACAGTATAAAAAAATTGAAATTGCCTGTGAAATCTGAGACTACATTCAGTTAAAATTTTTCCCACTTTCTTTCTTGTTTTGCACTAACAGTGATAAACTCACAGTGATATAGTGAGGACACAGATCTTAGCAGGTGTAAACAGTGATGGGTCTCACCTGACCACTTGTGATCGGACCACCTGAAAAGATCTTAAAGGGGTCATATGATGCTGCTAAAAATAACATTATTTTGTGTATTTGGTGTAATGAAATGTGTTTATGTGGTTTAAGGTTAAAAAAACACATTATTTTCCACATACTGTACATTATTGTTTCTCCTCTATGCCCCGTCTTTCTGAAACGCGTCGATTTTTACAAAGCTCATCGGTCTGAAAAAGCAAGGTGTGCTGTGATTGGCCAGCTATCCAGTGCGTTGTGATTGGCCGAATACCTCAAGCGTGAGACTGAAATGTTACGCCCCTCACCATATTGTGATGATGCCCTGTCAGGCCGGAGCGATGATTCAAAAACATGAAAATCCATTATAAACGAGGCATTTGTTGCATCCAGTGGGGACATAATTATGGATTATAATGACTTATACTGTCTTTTTATGCGTTGCGTCGCGCCGTGTAAACATAAAACCATGTCGGCATTTGTGATCGGAGAAATGACAAACAACAAGCCCTACTCTACACTGCCCAAAAAACTCGCTTTAAATATATAAAATATAAAAACTCTTTAAAAAACGTACTTACTGTCTTTGAGTCAGAACAGCCGGCATTGTAGTCTACTCTCCCAGGATCAGGAAATTGTCCTCCATAAAATGTGCTGGACACATCCGAATATTTGGGTTGACGTGTTCTGGAACAGTGTTGTAAATACAACTTAACCACTGATTTCTAGTCGCGTCCATTTTTGGAAGGCCAAAAAAACGGCGGCCTACAGTGAGCAGAGGCCGGGGGCTAGCGTGAGGAACGGCCGGAGGGTTAGAGTGAGCAGAGGCGGCGGGCTTGAGAAAGGCGCGGCTGGCGATTTCGACGAAGGAGCGTCCGGAAGGACATGTGACGACTCCGGGCTGGACTCCGCTTTGTCCACGGTGAAAGCTGATCCGGCGATCCACAGCGCAAAGTTGTTGTATTTCCTCAGCGACCAGCACGGATCAGCTCCAGGCATGACGAAGCAGATATCGTACTCTTTTGAAAGACCAAACAAAGTAGTTTTGCTTTCGAAGCACACAGCGTCTTCACGACATGGCGGCGGCAACAACAATACTACAGCGAGAATAAAAGTTACAACTTCTTTCTTTGCGTGAACATTTGGGCGGCGTTATGCAAATCTTCCCACATAGTGAGGTAGATATGTGGGGGCGTGTTAGAACGAGCCGTTTTAGGTAGGCGTGGCTGACTCTTAACTTTTATAAAGAATATTTCTTTGGATTTGAGACTTTAGTCTTTGCAACTTTACAGATCTTCTTTATGCACCAAGAGCTTGTAACACTCCAAAGAGAAAGGAAAAATTGAAATCGCATCATATGACCCCTTTAATACCAGCTGCAAATGGGTCCTCTGTTTGGACCCATTTGGGTGACACTGACCTGAGGACAGTTTCTGATGCCTTATTGATGCAGCACTGATGTGTTTATTCTGCCCTCAGTTACTATTTAATGATGATGAAATTATGATTTGATGTGTGTTTAAGTGATTTTGATCGGAATATAAAGACATGCTGGATGATTTCATATTTCTCTCTCTCTCTCTTTCTCTTTCTGACAAAGCCAAGTATCTATCCACTTTGTGCGCTGTTCTGTTGTAAGTGAAAACTTGTAACAAATGAAGATAAAATCCAACATTTGCTGTTTCCATCCAGTTGGCCTTGTGCCAATAAAATGACATGCATAATGATGTCATCCTTTAAGAAAAATGAATTGGCATATAAGTTTTGATGTTAAAAAAAAGCCAGTCTACTGTTTACACATTTCACAATTTTTTAATTAATTTAATTTTACTAAAATATAATTAGGGAAAATGTTAGTAAGCATAATTTATTAGCTTTCAGAGTTCCGATGTCTCCTTTGCAAAAAGTAAACGGTTAAAACAAAATAAGATTAGTAGTATCTGAAAATAACAATTACATCAAATCAGTCTGTTGTTTTTTTCAAAGGCAGATGCAGAGACCGATCCTAAACATTTTATTTTTTAGCTTCTTTAATGTCCTCATTCCTTTGAAATATAATTACATAACATTATAATAAATTGTGCATAGCCCATATAAAATTATTTTAGTGTCAGTGCCATGTTTGGGATTTTTATGTGTCACTGGGAACTCAGGCAATGTGCCTTCAGTTTGCAGACACTATATTTTTAACAAGCTGCAGATAGTCAAGATGCTATATTTTCATTATCCTTTGAAAAAAAAACTCAATATTCATAAACAAGTGCAGTTGTACCATTGTATGTCTTTTTTACTTTTATTAGACTGTAGGTTGAAATAAAAGAATGCGTGGGGAAATTATTTTTAAATGAAAGAAAACACTGCCTCTTCCCAGTTTATGGGAAACAGTTAGTTTTTTCTTCAAAAAAATTTGTAAAACATTGTAATTTGCAACATTATAAAATAGAAGAAATACCAAATCAAGAAAATACTATTTGACTAAATGAGAATAAATGGTGCTTGAGAGGTGTATCTAACCGCAGCAAAACCTTTGTTTTCATTCTTTGAACTGTTTTTAATCCCTGCTGAGAAAAGTTACTAATTACATGGCATTCAACAGTAATATGAAACATGAAGCATTTAGATTTTTAGGCCACTATGTATGAATAGATTTAATGTAACTTTGAACTTTAAGTCAAGTCAAGTCACCTTTATTTGTATAGCGCTTTATACAATACTGGTTGTGTCAAAGCAACTTTACAGTGTTTAACTGGAAACTAGATTGTCAATAATGCAAGAAGGCAATAACAAAGAGTAATTTTTCAGCTAAAGTCAGTTAATTGATGATTCAGTGATTTCATCATTGATGTGACGTCAGCTTACCAAGAAACAAGCTTTAATAGGAGCAACATACAGACATTAAAGCCCTTTTTCTTAACATATGTGTTTTCAAACTAGTTTTTCTCAACATTATAGGAATCAACATATAATTTATGCATTAGAGTAGAACAAAAAAAATATTGTGTTAAAACCACTTAAGCTCAGGGCGTTTTTTGGTATTTTCGCCTAAATTTGACATACTCAAATTCAAATGTTTACCCTACACACTTACAATGGAGGAAATTTAAAAAATTGTTTCATTGTAAAGAAAACCCTTTGAACTACAAAAAATGAGTGTAATTCTTTATAAATAACATCATATATTTTTCAAATATTACAATAAACACAAAAAAACATAGGCGCTTTTGGAGTTTTAAAACAAATAGTTTTTTTGAAATTCTGTAATTCGGGTTCTATTGGGTTCTGACTGAAGCAGTGCTACGAGTATAAATGTAAATTCGCTCAGAGGTGACAAAATTTTACATCGCGATTCTATCGAATTCGATCTGTGATTGTCACACAATGAAATAATCTACATCGTCAAATTCCTGAGAATGAGAGCTTTCTTGTGATATATGACTTGACTTTTTTGTGAAAAATATATAAAATACACATTCTTCGTAAAAATTATTCGCAATGGTTAGGCGGAAATTCGTGTGTGGGACAAATACATTTCTAAGCTTAATTTGACTGCTTTATGAATATAAAAACCAAAAGGAATGGTATTCTTTGTAAAGAAGACATGCCAACCTTTCAAATGAACCTATATATGGGCTGATACCATATAAGGAAGTCTATGTAAATGAAGCATAAACATTTTTTACGCGATTTTGGACCCGTATCCGGGTCCGCAGATTTTAACTGTTTTAACTGATGTAATGTTAATAAACCAGCATATTGAAGTACTAATATCGGTTTTAAACCATTGTACTACCATACTGATAACCACCAAAAACAGGTGGTGATGATAAAGTCACATGATGAATCAAAGCTCATCACAAACAGCTCTTCCACAAGCTGAGAAAGGAAATACTAATATATGTGTGTATAGAAGGTGCACAGTGTCATTCACACAAACACTAAACTCCATCATGGTAACACACATGATACTGAAATAATGCAGTAAACATTAATTTAACAACATTAGATGTAAGATAAAACCATAATGTACACAACTGATAAGAAAAAACTAAGAAGAAACAGTTATTTCAATGAAA